AAAAAAAAAAAAAAAAAAAAAAAAAAAAAAAAAAAAAGAAAACTAGGTAAAAAAATTTTTTTTGCTTATTGAAAAGAAATCCTATGCGTTTGTATTTAACCTCTTAAAAGTAATGCTTCTCTACCTGCCTATTCTTTTCTGTGTTGTTGATCATTACAGTATATCAAGATTTTGGTTTTGTTTTTTGTTTTTGAGACAGTTTTGTCTGTAGTCCAGGCCGGCTTTGACCTCATGATCCTTTTGCCCGAGTCTCCCAAATGCTGAGATGGCAGGCATGTGCTTCCACATCCAGCTCAGATTGTTCTCATTTCTTTTTTACAGCTCAGAGTACTACACTGTGTAGACTTTCCCTGTTTATTCAGTCTCTCTCTTATTGATAGACATTTGAGTTATTGCTAGTCTTTTGCTATGACAAGTCGAACTGCAATGAATAGTCTTTTTGTGAGTTGTATTGTGTTTTTGCCGTTGTGTCTTTAGGACAGAGTCCTAGAAGTGGGTCAGAGATGAGACGCATTTGTTAACTGCTGGGTGTTGGTCAAGTCCCTTCTTCAGGGTTTCAGCTGTTTTGCATCTCTGCCGCCCCACCGGCAGCATTTGGGAGAAGCTTTTTTGCCATAACCCCACCAGCAAGTGTGTTTCAAACTGTAGGGTTTTGCCAGTTTGATAGGTGAAAATTATATTTTATTTTACTTTGCACATTTTATTAGGATAATGAGGAAGTTGGGACATCTCTTCATGTGCTTTAGGGCCTTCGCGTTTCTTTTTCTGTGACTTCTGTCTTCTGCCTGTTTTTCTATGAGGTTGCTGCTTTTTGTTTGTTTTGTGGTGCAAGGGATTAAAAACCCAGGACTTTGCACAGACGAGGCGACGCCTCTTAAGACTGATTACACCCTCAGCTAGGTGGGTGCAGGAACTTCATGCAGGAGCCCGGAAGTCCATCTTGGCGTGCTCTCCAGGTTATTCCCTTGTACTGTCAAGTTTGAAAACCACTGTTCTGAACCATCCCCCTCCTTTCTAAAGTCCTCTGGTTATCAGTATGTCTCATTAGTGTCACTCGCCCGCAGCACCCACTTCTGTTAGTTTTCGTCATCTTCTGTCCCCTGGAACATACCTCTCTCCTCGGAGGTGCCTGCTGTGGCACTGTTTGTCTAATCCCTGACACTTTGGTCTGCGCTTAGATGGGCCCCTGAGTCGCCTGGCCGTGCAGCTCTTGGCCTCCTGGTCTTTTCTTTCTTCTTAGGTCCCTCCATCGCCACACCACTGGAGTGCTGCTTCCCACACCCTATCTTGTCCCCGGGTTTAGTGGGAATGGTGTTTTACTATTCAATACAAGGGATGCTGTTGACCTGTATCCTTCTAAAAAGGTTTCTTTGCATATTCAAGGACATGTTTCAAAATGGCAGTGATTATAATTCAGTAATGGTAAATGGATGTTGGGAGGATCAGAAAACCTTACCCTGGAGGACTATAGGAATACAAGGCTTTTAACTGCTTTTCTATGATATAGCAGTTTACTCAGTCTGATGGTTTGAGAAAATTACTCAAAGTTTATGCTTGTTTTATGGTAATCATTCCTATATATATATATATATATATATA